ATCTTAACTATGTATACTCTATCCATAGGGTTGAAATCTATCTCCCTCCACCAGAATTTGACCTCACCCCTCTAAAGTCTAAGGATCTTAACTAGGGTTGTAACGTAAGGCAAAGGGTTAAGGCGGGGTAAAAAATTGAAAATTTTTGTGATATTTCCTAAGTGAAGAAAAAGGGTGATCAAACCTCAAAAACAAACTCAAGAAATCACCAAACATCAAACAAAAATACCAATAATGTCATCTCCCCCAAGCTTACTCAACACCAACACTTGATATAAACAAAGACGAAGAAACGCTCCCCCCAAGATTGAACGAAGCATTGTCCTCAATGCTTAAACTAGGGAAGAAAACGAAACCAAACTATTTTTTTTTAATATTTTAAACTCTTATTTGTTGTCCTTGCCTTTTTTAATTATGGACGGATTTTTCTTGAATGCGCTTGTTTTATTAAACACAATATATACAATTTACTTTCTTGCTTGGTCCAAAGAGCATAATATTTTCTCATTTTCATTACAACATAAAACAACCTCACAAATCAAAATGCTTCACAAAACTAAGGGTTAGGGAAACGAAAGATCATAAGGCTTGTAATGTGGCTCATAATCGAGAAAGGGAATAGGCTCAAAGGGTTAGCAAGAGGAGCAAATGCAAAATAAAAACAAAATATGTAACAAAACAAAAAGAAGATAAAGAAAAATGAGAAAAGGGGTGCCCTTTTCTTCCCCTAGAATTGCTTGGTCACGATCTTGGGAGTTAGAGGACAACACAAGGATTAAGATATGCCTAGTCAAGGATCCTAAACGTCGCTCAACAAAATTGATGAATGCTTGAACAATTTAAACCTCACAAGGAATGAGAAGTAAGCAAATACCAACTAAAGAGGTTCATATCCACTATAGAGAGCAACACCATCTTACCACTTTTTCGATAACTAAGGATTTAAACGTCCTCAAAAGTTCTTAAACTGGCTACCTTAGCTTAAAATTTTTCTATCTCAACCATAAGCACTCTCAAACCGTGTAGGCCATCATCAATTAGGAAGAAAAACATTCTTTGGCACATTATCAAAGCAATCAATTCCAAATGCATGAGCGAATTCCAAAACAAATTCATTTTATCTTGCCATAGTCATGTTTGTCACAAAAAAAAAGGAAAAAAAAAAACAAAAGAAAGAAGAAGAAATAAAAAAGGTTCACAAACGAGGCATAAAATCCAAATAAGTCCCAATCGTCATATAAGTGATCGTTCGATAACAACATCAACGATCCCAGGTTGCATAGAACCAAAAGCAAACATCCTTGAACCATTCAAATTCTTCCTAAACTAGTCCTAAACTAAGCACTCAAAGAAGAGTAAAATAGTAAAAATAAGAAAGGTCTCACCGGGAGGTTGGCTTAAAAGAATAAAGGAGCATAAAATAGAGTTCACCAAATGTCACTCCGCTCCAAACTTCTAAAAAGCAAACTACAAGGCAAGACAAGGCACAAAAGAAAAGATTAAAAGATAACAAAGAAATAAAACAAAAATAAAAAAGAAAGGAGGGGGAGAAAAAGGGTTAGAAATCCTCCGGTTTGCCTCCCCGGAAACGCTTGTTTATGGTCTCTAGCTTGACCCTTCACCTCATTCAAGGTGGATTAAAGAAAATCACCCTCATCAACTTGAGGATTGAATCATAGATGCCCCCAAACTTGAGAACTAGTACTCCTTGAGGTCTCACATCACCACAAGGAAAAGGAGGGGATGAATCAAGAGCCAAAGGTGGCTCATCTTTTCCTTTTTCTTCTTCTTGTTGTTTCTTATTCTCTTTTCTCTCTTCTTTTTTTTCCTTCTAAAAGGGGGATCGATCTTGGAATCCTCAATATTAGGAAGGGAAACCTCACCATCCTTAAGAGAGCCTTAAAACCAAGCGGGAAATTCAAGGAAGTCATCATACCTCATTGTCATCTTATCATCACATGGTGGTAAGCTCTCATTAGCCATCACACCATCGACCACATCAACTCTACATACGCTCACCGTCATAGGGATCTTCAAAACAACATTCTCAACTAGCCTACAAGGAAAGGGAACCGGGCCTTCAAACTTGTTTGGTTCACTAAAATCAAATGGCTCCTCATTTTGTTCTTGAACCTTCTTCTCAACCACATCATCTTCAACCTTGTCGTCCTTGCAAGTTTCGGGTTGATAAGTATGTGAAGGGTTAGTAGATGATTGTAAAGGGAGTTTTGTGGTTAAATGGATAGAAGAAATTTTGGCTAGTTGGGAATCAACAACTTCATTGTGAGATTTGATCTCTTGGAATTGTTGAGTGATAATTTAACGTTGTTGAAGAATTTAGGTTTGTGTGTGGGCGGGTGGGGATTTTTCTTTATACGCTTGAGGACATATGTCATGATTTTGATCTTGAGAATTCTCTACTTGGTTGGAAAGGTAGGAAAAGGTTTGGGTTGGTGGATTGAAGAGAGGTCCATCTTGGGGGTAGGAAATTTCTTGCCTTGGAGGTTGTTAAAGTTGTTGGGATTGAGCTTGGGTTACAAACTCTTTTTCCCTCAAAGTCAATACTTAACCATGCTTGAGATTGAACTCTCTACAATAGGATGCATCATGATCCGTCCCACCACAACGAGCACATGAGAAATCAATGATTTGTGAAGGTTTTGAACACAAACCAACACTTGAGTTCAACTTGGAAAGACCTTCATTCAAGAACTCAACTATGTGCTTAAGTTGGCCGACTTTCTCCAACTCATAAATATCTCCTTGCTTCCCTTGGGACCTTCTTTGACCTCCCCAAGAATTAGCTAGTAGCCACTTCTTCAATTGTAGCTTCAACTTGGCTTTGAGGGATCTTAATCAATTGGCCACCGACACCCGCATCTAGATTGGTCCTTGACATTGGCTCCAAGCAATCATAAAAGAATCTTATGAGGAAATTATGCTTTAATTCATGATGAGGACATGCTTTAATCAAATCCTTAAACCTTTCCCATGCTTCCCCAAGAGTTTCATTCGGTTCTTGCTCAAAGGAAGCTATCTTCCTCCTCATTTTTGCGGTTTTCTCATCGGAAATGAACCTCTTGAGAAAGGCCTTCGCAACTTCCTTCCATGTGGTGAGAGAGTTGGGCTTCAAAAGCTTGAGCCATTTCTTTGCTCTTCCGGTGAGATATTACCGAAAGAGATGCATACGAATGTACTCTTGGCTCACTTCATTTGCTTGCATCATTGCACACAACTCAAGGAATCGGTCCAAATGCTCAATGAGGTCTTCACTTGCATCTCCGGAAAATTTCTCAATTTGCACCATCCTAGCATATTGTGGATGGATTGTGAAATTAGTCTCGGTGGTCGGGAGAAGTATACCACTCGTGAGCTCATAGATTTTCGGGTTTCCAAACTCCCTAAAAAGAAGGTCATCCTCTTGTCTTGCCATATCTCTTTGAATACAACAAAGCTAAGCACACGATTAGCAATTACAAGTAGGATTAAACAAGCAAAACAAAAAGAAAGGAAAGCAAATAAAATGACTCTAACAATAGCAAAAATAAATGTTAAACAAGCTGCTTCGCCGGCAACGGCGCCAAAATTTGATCGAGGGTTGAATAGGTCATTAAACTACTACCTTAATGATATTAATCATTTATATACCTAACTACCCCAATACAAGTATAGGGGCAAGTAAAGGGTCGAACCACTAAGGAAGCTCACTCATTCAACATCAATTTTCACTAATGCAAGAGTAAAAAGGGGAATATTTTTGTTGAATTTTGAATAAAGAGCACTAAAACTACAAATAAGCAAAGGTAATGATGATTAAAATCAAGAGAGAACGACGCTAGGGATACCGGATACGGGGGTGTCAAACATGATTAGGAAGAGGGGAACAATAATGGTTATCATGATGAACATGCCAAAGAACACAAGATTCTACCTAAACAATTCATTCTCATGCAATAGTCTAAGCAAATCAATGAAAAAGGTCTATACTAATAAGGATCATTCTCATGCATCCTATTAGTTACAATCAAATTAAGAGAATAAGGAAACACAATCCATAAAAACTCCACTTTAATAACTCATTCTCATGCAGTCTTTAAAATAGAGATGATCTGAATCTAGTTCAAATCACTTTCATGCATTTAAACTAGAAACATTGAATAGAGTGCAACAATAATCTCAAGCTAACAAAAATCATGTCTTTCATCAATTTATGGCATGAGTTCAATCCAACCATCATCATTCATCCAATATCAACTCATATTTTCCACCCCCTTCCCCTAGCTAAAAGATTAGCCTAGAGAAAGGAGATTAAATATAATATCAAAACTAGAAACAAACTCAAGAAACTCAAAACAAAACATGATAAAAAAAATGAAAACAATAATAACTAGATGAACTAAAAAGATTAATAAAAATAAGCAACAATAAAGCAAATAAATAAAACTAAAGGAAAGGATTAGAGATTACTAAAGAAAGGATTAATGAAAGATGAAAACTTGAAGTCTTGCTTGATTGAAGATCAAACTTGAGCAAAGTTTAATACCATAAGGAAATTTGAGTAACAATCTACTTTCTCCCTCTAAAATTATCTAATCTAACCCTAAGAGAGAGAAACTCTCCTAAACTAATTAAGAAAATAGCATAATAATCTCCTCCCCCTAATTACTCAAAAAATGGGTATTTATACAAAGCTAGGAAAATAGACTAAAAATAAAAGAAAGGGAAATAAAATAAGTAAACTAAAAAGAATGAAAATAGAGCAATTTCCCGCAATAATGCTAGAATAAAAATAAATTCCCTTTATGCATCGATTTGGAAACTAATTCCTTATATATCGTCCATGTAGGATCGGTGTTGAGTGTGATTTTTTTCACCTTAAAACCGCTAATGACAATAGCGGTTATAGCTTTAAAACCGCTACTGTCATTAACGGTTTCAGAAAAGAGACCGCCTATTTCAATAAACATGACTCTTTTCTTCCTTTTACTTTTTTTAAAAAAAGTAAAGAGGCAAACAGACCTGACAATAAAAAAGGAGGTCTCTTTTCTAAAACCATGTCTTAGCCAATACTAGGAAAGAGAACGCCCACATTACTACTGTTAAGTTCAAAGAGACCTAATTTCATTAATAACGGATCTCTTTGCTTTTTTTTTTTTAAAAAAAAAAAAAAACCAAAACAGCTAATATTGCTAGCGGTTTTATCCAAACCAAATACGAATCCTAAATAGACAATATTTTGGGAATTTGTTTTATAATGGGTGTATAGTGGGAATTTGTTTTTGTTTTAACATTATTGAGGGAAATCGCTCAATGAAAATAAAATAAACAAAAGAAAACTAAAGAAAGAAAAATAAAAGGAAAAAGAAATTAAAATAATAAAACAATCAATCCCCACCAAACCATAAGACCACCAATCTCTTCTTCTTCGATTTTTAAGCTGCTTCAAAGGGGAACGATCCCCTGCTTCACTCACCATCAAACTCCATCATCAAACATCGTCATCAAATCCCCACCATTCATCATCATCAACTATAATCGAGCATCAAATTGTGGCCATCCGTTTTTCATTAAAATCAAGTGAGAAGCTCGTGATTGAACCCACATTTGCGCGCCCGCAAAGAGGTCGCGCAAACTTACTGCCTACAATCTGAATTTGGACTCCATTTGCGCGCCTTCTGACAGGGCTGCGCGGCTGCGAATAGCTTCAATCAAATTGGACCTTGATTGAGGTTCGATTGTTTGCAAATGGTGAAGAGTGGTAGCCGGAATTCGCTGCTTTGTTTTGTTGTTGCTGCAATTGCGGGCAATTGGTGGTTGCGAATTGTCTTGCGATGTGGCTTGGGTAAGGGTGATTAGAGTTGTTGTTGCGGGTGTTACGGTGAAGTTGGGTGGTTGCAGCTGCGGTGAGGGAATGGAGAAGCTGCTAGGTGCAGTTGGAGGTGGACGGTGGTGTTATTGGTGGGCTGGGAGCTGCGTGAGGTAGCACAGGCTGTGGGCTGTTTACGTGTTTGTTGCGGTTGAGTTCGGTGGCTTGCGAGTTGGCTGGGATTGGTGGCGTAATGGGAGGCGCATTAGGTGCTGCGGGCTACTGCTATAGTAGTTGCAGTTTGTGATTGCAGGTGGTCTGGGTGTGGGGTTAGTTGCGTTGCTGTTGTTGTTATTGGATGGATGGTGGTCAAAATGGGTGAGTGTGCAGATTTGCTGCTATTGCTATTGGTGTTGTTGAGGAAAGCAGGGGAGCAGAGGAGGTTGGTGATAGCAAGTGAGGAGCTAGGGAGTGAGAGATGAGGTTGAGTTGTGGTGTAGGGTAAGGTGTGCGGTGGTGAAGGATAAGAGGCAGCTGAATGAGCAGCAAGGGGTAGCAGCTTGCTTAGCTCAAATTTTGTGCCTCGAACCTCGAACCTTGAACTCGAATATGACTTTGAAACCCGGAATACGCAAAACGACCTACAACAAAAACACGAGGGTAATAACAAGAGATAAAATAAAATAAAGATAAAATAACTTCTGCTTCAAAAATTGATATATCACAGCTTCTTGCGGTAGGGACTGGGCAGACGATAGCAGGGGATTCGTAAATTTCTTCAGGTATGGTCTCGTGAAGCAAGGTATAAATGCAGATTTACGAAAATTGCGACTGTATACAATAAATTATTTATGTTGATTGTTTTCTTATGTAGGTCATCTGTGGATACATTCAATGGGTAAGCGAATTAGGGAATTGCAGGACAGGAAATCCGGTGAGGTAATGGTTGTATGAGGTTGTGAGATTATTATTTATGTGTGGTTGTGGTTGAAAAACGTAGTTAATTTATCGGTAATTGTACATTGTTTCAAGTTCTGGTAGTTGATTGACGCTATATAATTGTTTGAGTTGGATACTTAATGGAGTAAAATATACAGAAACCGTGTGGAGGATTTACAAATAAACATAATTGAATTACCTCCTGCGTTATTCAAGGTAAAAAAATCATGTTACATTTGGCTTGAAATCGATAATTGCCTGCGTGTTGAGATGTGGGTTAGTAATTGTGGAAAATGAATTTGTATAGGATGATACCCTGAGCAAGGGAGGTGAGGTGAAGGCAAGGGGAGTAGTACTGAAAGAGCATTCCAGTGCAATATGCAGAGTAATTTTTGCTTATCTATATTGATGTATTAAGAGATTGAATTGTATGATTTATGTTTGTTATGCATCAAAACTGAATTGTTCGATTATCAATTAAGGGGAAATAGAAATTAAAATGAAAAATAAATGAATGAAAAAAAAATTGTATCCATATTTTAACACATTCTAATTAAATCTTCCATTAATGCAAATCAGCCACCGAATATGAGTTGTCGTATTCAGGCATTTGGGCGTTTATGTAAGTCATTTGATGAGAGAAGAACAAGATGGGTGAACGAAATGGGTTTTGGGGGACTTCTTCATTTAATTTCAGACATGCATTTACCGTGGCAACTAGCGTGTTGGTTGATGACTAGGACAGACCCGTTGAACAAAACCTTTATTGCCCAGATGGGCGGGTGTTCCCCTTATCAAAGAACCAAGTTCGGTGGGTACTAGGAATCTCCAGTGGGTGTAGGGTTGTTCCAAATTCTAAAACAATGAATGATGAAATGTGTGGGAAGGTTCAACAAGTGTTGCTCAAATATGGGTGTTCTTGGAAGTGTGTACACATCAGTAGGTGTAGACACCCATTTGTGGAAAGGTGTGGACATCAATATGGGTGTGGAAGTGTGTACACATCAGTAGGTGTAGACTCCCATTTGTGTCTCCCCAAAACCAAACCCAGTGATGAGTACCTTTCACGTCGAATCATAATCGAATTAAACGAAAGTGTGGAAAGGTCTGGTGTTGCGGAAAGTTTTAATTCTTTTCTCTTCTCTCTGTTTTTGAAAACTTTATTTTAAGAAAACAGCCAATCCAGTTTGGTTGGTCCATGATATGGGTCCAATAGTGGTGTAGTTGGATGGGGCTTACAAAGACCTTTCCAACAATATATTATAATCCCAATTCCGATGAATATTGATGAAGTTATGACCAATTTACTAAACTTGGCCCAGTTTGAGCTTTAAGTACGGCCCAATGATCTAGGGGAGGGCCTAATATGATTTATCATTCCTAATGCAATTAGGAATGGTTTTGGTCTTCTAGAACATTCTAGAAGGTTTTATCATTCTTAATTCAATTAGGATTCTTCGGAGTTTTAATCAAGATCGAATAGCATTTTCGACTGAAATTATATTATTTTATCTTCCAGTACGGGAAATTTATCGGATTTTCGAAAACGCGTTGAAATCCAATTTGGCGTCCTACCCCAGGCCTTGGTGCCTGGAACCAGGATTGGTGCCAGACGCCAGCCTTGGCGTCTGGCGCTAGCCACTGGTCCTGGCGCCAATGAGCCAGGGCTGGCGCCAAGGTTGTTTTTCGATCTTCAGGCTCTGTTTTGTTAAATTGTCTTTTTTGGATGATTTTCTCTATAAATATCGTATCAGAAACTCCGTTTTCAATCATCATCTACATCTATCGTTCACCAATTCTCTTTATTCTTAAGTTTTCATCAACTATCTTCATCATTCACCAAGAATCATCAATTCTCTTCTTCATTCATCAACTCTTTTCATTCACAAATCATTCATCAACTCTTCATCTCTTTCAATAATCCTTTTCATTAACATTCATTTATTTTTTTCTAAACTTTGCTTTTTAATACAAAATTCCGCATTCGCAAGATCTAGAAACACCTAGCCATATTCGAAGTTGCCTTCGCCCTAGACGTGAAAGGTTTTAATTTCTGAGGGTTTGGTCCCAAATCTCTCTTTAAATTATTTAATTTAATTGTTTAGATTTATTATTTTCCTTGAAGTTACTAACGTGTGTATTTTGTTATTAGAAAGAGGTACGAGGCATCCAAGTAAATACTTTAATTAATTAATTGATATTATGATATATAAAATCATGTTTATATTGTTGTTATGATATTCCTAGTATCATGTCTAGGTTAATTTTAATATTAAATATGATTTCCATGATGCTTCCTATGTTCTTCCTAATATTTATGATTATTAGTATTATATTTTTATCGCTTAGTGACATGCTAGGGTTTGTTATTAATCTTATTAGTATCATGCCTAGGATCTTGCTGTGCTTTAACATGATTATGATTATGATTGATGTTATTATTATTAATGATGTTGATTATTTATTATATTGCTTGATACTTATTATTATTTATTGTTATTGTTTGATCACCTTTATTGCATGTTTAAAGAAAATTGGTATTTGTAATCACGCTTAATAAGATAATTAATAATCTTGTTAGGTTAATTGTGATTATAAATTCAAGAGATCGCCAATAATAGTTTATTTGTGCATTAAATTCAACCAACATAGATTAAACACGTTTAGGGTTAATCCTATTGATTGTATGTTAGTCAGAAAGCGCACATGAATACGATCAGAATAAAGTAGAGGCCTATTATTAGGGCAGGTTCAATCTCTTTTAGGTTGGATTTGTACCATCATCCCCGAACCCTTATTTGGTTCATGACCTTATGGAGTTGACGATCTCTTGGATCGTTAAGGGGTGTAACCTTCACCTCGTGAACGGTTTACAAGTTCCTTAAAAACTTGTTGGCGACTCTTTTGCTCTATCTTCTTCCCTTTTGGATGCCACCGTACTTTAATGTATGATCACAGTGGGGTTCAAGCTAGTGGGATTTTTAAAGGCTTGAAATTATTCCCTACAGTTTTTGGTGACTCCACTGAGGAGGATTTCTATTTTAATTCTTGAATTTGTTTCGGCAATGATTTAGAATGAGTGGATGAGACTCGAAAAGTTCTAAGTATTTCATATGCGTAATTTTGATTAACATTATTGTCATATGCATAAAAAGGTTCTCATTGGAAAGACCATCCATAATGAGTCAAAAATATAGGATTTTACACGTAGGAAATTTGAGAAATGTCTTTCACAACTAGGACTGAAATAACACCACGCGAAACTGGAAGATTTAATCGAGCACAGAAAGCTGCTGAGGCATGTGGGAAGTAGCGTTAGGGGCCAGAGCTTGGCGCCACACTTTTAGCCGTAGCGCCAGACGCCAATATTGGCGTCAGGCGCTACAGTTAAAAGTTGGCGCCAGTCTCTGTTTGCTGGCGCCAATTTCCCCCAATACCGAGCCAGAAATATGCGTTCTAATTTCGACCGGTTTTTTCGTATTGTTTGCTCGATCCTACTTCCTGATTGAATTTTTTTCTCACTTTTCTGAAACCCATATGTGTTCTACATATGGACATAACCCTCTGTGAATTCATGCTCTATCTACCCGATTGAACGCTCCTTGCAACAAAGGGTACATCTGAGAGGTTGAATTCACCAAACCATGGAAGCGAGTTTTTTCTAAAAACTCGCGGTGTTCTATCCACATGCGTTAACCCTTCACGGTTAGGCTTCTATGCGGTGCATCTGGACAATTAACCATGGACCCTATTTGACTAAACCATATCCCGAACTTTAGAGAACTAGAGCCATGGTTAGGTTGCGAACTCATTGCATCATATTGTGCCTACTTGACTAATTGTGCATTATTTGTTGTGCATATATATTCTATGTTCCTCTTAACCGTTTGTTGATTTGTGTTGAGATTATAATTAATGACTTAAAGAACTTTGCCTAATTAACTAATTAATTCATTAATTTGAGTCAATAAAGTTTTTTCTTCTTTTAATCGGAATCGACCTATTACGACTTTAGGCATACCCCAGTTGACTAATAATACCGAAAACAGTCTCAGACCGAGGCTCCAATATTGGTGCCAAAATCTGAGCTGTAGCGCCACTGTATGGTGTGTAGCGCCAGACATTTACTAAAAAGTCTTGCGCCAATCACCATATTGTGACGCCAGTCCCGTCGCCTGGCCGACAGTTCAGATTATTTGTCGAGTCATCATCTAATGTCTAATTAACCAGTTTGCTAATTAATTCGGTTATTTCTGCTGTCAATAACACCTTGTCAAGTCATTAATCGAGTTTTGGTCACATAGTCTAGCCACATGGTCATGACACGAGTCTTAACATGTCACCTACACTCACTAGTCTTAGCACACACTTTGAGTACACATTACCATGGCCATGTCTTAGGTTCATGCATAAGTCGGTCTTTTCCGTCATTTGAGTTGGGGTACATTCTATTCCTAATTCTTCATATCCCTCCACCTCCATCTAAATCTTTCTTCACATTCTTCCATCTTTCTTCACCTCCTCCATCCATTGCATGTTGAATAAAGTTTGAGTCAAATAATTAACAATAAGTATCCCCAAATTCCTTTTCACAGTACTTGGTCGAGGAGAGAAGGGCGATTAATCAAGGACAACCTCTTTATTCAAGTCTCGCTTTTTGATAAACCGATTCGTCAAAAGAGGAAGGCTAAGAAGATAATGGCAACTCAAGAAGAAGTCAATGAGCTTAGGAACCAATTGGTTACCATGACTGAAACACTGAAGCTACTCACCCTCAAGTTGATGATCCTGTGAAGCTACAACAGATGGACCTCATGCAAGAGAGCCTAAGAAAGTTGTCTAGCGATTACAAGTTTCAAGAGCTTACATCACAAGGGGTCTCGGTGGACAAAGATCTTCTTCCACAGAAGTTCAATGCCAACGACATCCCAAAATTCAAGGCAACAGATAACCCTTACTTCCATCTAAGAGCTTTTGAAACTATAATGAGCATTAAGGGTATCGATAAGAAGGTTTTCCCCTCTCTGTTCCCACTATCTCTTGAAACCATTTTCCAACAATGGTTCTTCTCCCTTGACAAGGAGAAAACCTCTACCTGGGAATCGATAGCAAACGCTTTCGTTGATAGGTATAAGTGCAATATCCAAGTTGAAACCGATCATAGACAACTTGAGATGCTAAGACAAAAAGAAAATGAAGGCTTTACCTCTTTCTTTAATAAGTGGAAGGAAACTTCCGCTAAGATGATTGAAGTCCCCACCGAAAAGGAATCTGTGAGGATGTTTATCAAGAATCTCCAAGAAAAGTATTCGAAGCACCTAAAATATCAACATAATTTGAATACTTTCAAGGCCGTTTATGACATCGAAATTGAAATCGAAGATGACCTCGCAAAGCAAAAAGCTACTAATAATAGCACCCACGGTGGCTGGAAAGGAAAGAAGAATGACAATCCTTCTTTTTCCGAAAACGCCCACTCTAGTATCAATGTTAGTACCTTTGATCTCAGTGAAATTTTAGTCATGGATAACCAAGGATCTAAGAA